ATACGCCACATCATTAAAATTTAATCTAACGGATTTAAAAGTTGACACATCATCTTAAAACAAAAACTCAATTTAGTTCTAATTAAAAAAGAATAAAAAAACCCTAACACCCAACTAACTGTTAGTTAACGTCAAAAGCTCTTTTTTCCATTTTTTTGTCTCCTTCTTGCTTCAGGTTTTGTCCTCTTCTCCTTCTTGCTTTAGGTTTTGTCCTCTTCTCCTTCTTGCATGGTTTCCCTAGTAGAGTTTCAAGTTAGAATTTTTTGTTTGTCAGATATTATATGCATTTTGATTACAAGTTCAACTTATTCCAGGTTGATACCGTGGCATACCATCTGTCAGTTTTGAGAGAGATGTTTCCTAATGGCATAAACCTCCTCTCTCTTTTCTCTGGGATTGGTGGGGCAGAAATAGCTCTTCACTGGCTTGGTATCCCTCTGAAGAATGTCATGTCGGTAGAGAAATCTGCAGTGAACAGAAGTGTTGTGAGGAGTTGGTGGGAGCAAACAAACCAGAGAGGGAATTTGTATGACCTTGAGGATGTACAGCAGCTGAATGGTGACAGCCTGGAGCATTATATGAATTTATTTGGTGGTTTTGATCTTGTAGTTGGTGGGACCGTGGGAGTCCATGTAACAATCTGAAGCAAGAAGGAGAAGAGGACAAAACCTGAAGCAAGAAGGAGACAAAAAAATGGAAAAAAGAGCTTTTGACGTTAACTAACAGTTAGTTGGGTGTTAGGGTTTTTTTATTCTTTTTTAATTATGAGTAAATTGAGTTTTTGTTTTAAGATGATGTGTCAACTTTTAAATCCGTTAGATTAAATTTTAATGATGTGGCGTATGGAGAACAAAAGTATAGCAGATCATGGCAGAGAAAATCAGAGCAGAGGATCCGGATCCCTATAAATTGGTTGAGGCCAAGCCACATTAAGTTCACTCAACAATCTTGTCTTCACCTTAATTGTGTTGTTAAGAAAAACATGGCATCATCCTCCAAGACTTTTCTTCTTCTTGGCTTTATGTTTGCTCTTGTGATCCTCATCTCCTCAGAGGTCTCAGCTCGTGAGCTAGCGGAAATTACTAAGCCAGCAATTCCTATTAGTGAGTTTCTAATTTGTTTTTTTTTTCGAATTTGAGATGCATATTTTAACATTGAGAACATATGTACTATTAGACTAAGTACTCTTTGGCATATATGCCATTTTTAAAGACAACTTTCTTTGTAGGTTTAAGTATAAATGTGAATTATGTCCCTAGTCTAGATAAAACAATTTTAATATTAAGTTTAAAAATTAAGGGCAAAATATAGTAATTAGCAAACCCTTAATCTTCACTCACCCACTTTTACCCTCCTAGACTAGACCCAACTGTCCCTATTCTAATTTCTACCTTTATGTGAATTAATAGTCCCAATAATTTTATTTTTATACAAAATCATATGAAATTTCTTAATATATCAAGATCTTCTCGATGTTAAGTTCATTTTACAAGGCTGCTGTTTGCATGGCTTTGCTTGTCAAAGTGATACAAATTCTTTAGACTTATATAATTACTTTTCTTTCAGGGGCTAATACCTATCCCTTTAAAGACCGAACAAGTACGCCAACTGTCAAATGCAGTCCGTATAATAAAACATGTACCCTGACCCCGCCCCATAAATGCAATCCGTATATTAGAACATGTCCCCCCGCCCCACGGCCAAGGGCACCATGAAAAACCAGGACCTGGTGTTGCTGAGACTGAAATTGGGAATTAAATAGATAACCCTTTTTCAGTGGATATTGCAGGTACTATGTGGTAATATAATAAGGGTTTGTTTTATCAATGATATAACGGTTAATGTAATGTATTGGTTGAGTTGTTAATAAAACTCTCAATCATAATTAATTAGGATTTTAAGGTTTATCTTTGTACTAGTACTCATGTCTAAGATATGTGGCTTTCTATCTTTATATATACGTTTGAAATCTATCCTAGTAATTTCTTTTTCCATAATTTTTGTATCAATGAAAATCTCCATTAAGAGTAACTACATGTTGATGGAAGTTTTAAAATTAATTCAAGCAAGACCCACTTGACAACAAAAAAAAAAAAAGAGGACCCGCTGGACTTTCTTTGGCTCTAGTTGAAATACTGGACTTGTGCAAAACGAATATCAACGAAGTCCTAATACAATTTTGGGTTAATTATAGTTTAGTACCTTGTGGTTACACCCTTAAGACATGTTAGTCCCTACCTTTTCAATTTTAACAATCACATACCCCGGTCTTTTAAATTTGTTACAATGTGGTTCCGCCATTAGATTTCCGTCAGATCTCTCCGTTAGTTGCCTACGTGGCATTGTGGGTCCCACATTTTTCAATTTTTGTTAATCTTAAATTGATTAAAATCTCTCTCTCTCTCTCTCATGACCACCCTCCAACCCCACGAACCCAAAACCCCAACCCCGACGAACCCAAAAGCCACAGAACCCATCCCCCTTGCGATTTTCTTCTTCCCCCACCCCATGCAATTTCTTCTCCCTCCACCCCTTGCGATTTTCTAAATTTTCATATTTTAATCAATTAGTTCATATCAGCATACAACGCAAAAATTAAAAGATTCTCCATTTTCCTCCACTTTCTCACCAACCAAACACTGACTTTGCAAAAATGAAGCGACGGAAAATAATATCAAACTCCATAACACATAGAGACAGCAAGGAACATGATTCACTAAATAATCATACTCAGTGTCAAACATAAATGTGTAGCAGAAAAAGCCAAATTATAGGGAGAAACCCTAACCATCGTATTACTCTGCCTGCTTAGAGAGCTTGCACTACTACAAAAAAGGCAAAAGACGACGGGAATTCACTGTCGTGTATCCGGTTTTCAAACCATCGTGAAATCGACCGATATCTTTTCCAAAAGAAAACCACGACGGTAAATCCCCGTCGTTGTTATAACAAATAACAACCGACGTCTGTGTATTGAAAAATGAGCCAAAAAAATTATCAAGGATAAGAATAGATGACCAATTTTAACAAACAAACGTCGTTTACAAGGCAACACATGACATATTTTAACTGAACATGGCCGCAAGAGACGCATACCATGACGAAAACTAAAAACTCACAGTTGTTACATATACCTTTCACGACACATGATCAAACAAGAAACGTGATATACAATTATGACGTCTTTAAATAAATAAAAGACGACGTTATTAATCCATACTACGTCATCACTATTTATATAACCGTTGTGAAATAAATTTTCCACTTCATTTTGTCCATTAATATTGACGTGGAAATAGCGGTTAGGGTCATTACTTATGACACATGTATTTCTATAGACGACGTTGTATTTAATGAACAACGTCGTCCACAAATAAAAGACAATCGTGTTTCAGAATTTATACGTCATCTTTAAAAACATGATCGTCATCTAATATATTTTAGACGGCACAAATTGTCAGTTGATCGCCGTATAAATTTATATTAACGACATGATCTGAAAATAAACGATGTGGAAAATATGTTAGGGTCATTACTTACGACACATTTATTTCTACAGACGACGTTGTGTTTGATGGACAACGCCGTCATCATGTAAAAGACAGCCGTGTTTCGAAATTTATATGTCGTCTTTACCAAAATGACAGTCGTTTAATCTATCTGAGAAGGCAAAGTTTGTCAGCCAATCGCCGTGGAAAATACTTTTAAAGACATAAGAATTAGAAAAAACGCGGATATTCCCATATATCGTTGTTTTTGTGAAAGAACGACGTCCAAATATCCCTTTAAGTTGACAAATTTACCTCTGGATTTCAAATAACGTCGTGAATTGTTCTTTTTCCACTTCGTTTATGTAAGATCCCACATCAACCAACAAAGAGGGGGGTGATGTGCCTTATATGTACATGCCCGCATCCATCTAGCACGGGCCTTTTGGAAGCTCACTGGCTTCAGAGTCATGGGAACTCCGAAGTTAAGCGAGTTGGGGCTAAAGCAATCCCAGGATGGGTGACCCACTGGAAAGTTGCTCATGAGCTCCCAAAAACAAAACCGTGAGAGCAGAGAAGGGGGCCCAAAGCGGACAATATCGTGCTACGGCGAAGCCGATCCCGGGATGTGACAATTTGGTATCAGAGCCACTCTGCCGTATGGTGCGAGTGTGCCGACGAGGACGTCGGGCTCCTAAGGAGGGTGGATTGTAAGATCCCACATCGACCAACGGAGAGGGGGGTGATGTGCCTTATATGTACATGCCCGCATCCATCTAACACGAGGCCTTTTGGGAGCTCACTAGTTTCGGAGTCATAGGAACTCCGAAGTTAAGCGAGTTGGGGCTAGAGCAATCCCAGGATGGGTGACCCACTAGGAAGTTGCTCGTGAGCTCCTAAAAATAAAACCGTGAGGGCAGAGAGGGGGGCCCAAAGCGGACAATATCGTGCTACAGTGGAGCCGATCCCGGGATGTGACAGTTTATGAGATAACAAGCGACGTGGTAAAATTTAATACGACGATTTTTGAGTTGTTACGGACGAGTTCATTATCTAAGACGTCGTCTTTTGTAATGTTCAGGTTAGATATCTCGTCTTTTAGACGTCGGTATTATGGGATTGGAGTCGTGTTATTTGTAATTACATGTCGGCTCTTTAGACTTCTCCGACGTGATATCATTAATAACTGTTTCACAATACCGTCGTGGTTCTTCATTTTTACGTTGCTTTTAGACGTCGGTACTAAATACATTGCCGTTGTTGAATGCTCCAAAACGTCATTTTTTAATGACAATTTTATTAAAATAGACGTCTGTTTTTCACATTTTTATCAGGACCGTCGTTTTATAATATTGAACCAGTATTTTTTGTACTGATTGTTTTCTGGCCAAAACCTGCATAATGAAAGTGAAGAAAACACATTACAATTTATTACAAAATTAATGTCATACACTAGTGCCGTTTAGGGCATAAGTAATTTCATAAATTACAAGAGCATCATTCAATCTATATATCTTCATACCCATCTCGAATATTTTGACTCACAAACTCACCCACCAGTTCATCAAATGTGTCAACATTTGGCATCCCTTTAGTAAATGGCTCACAATCAATTCTCCCATTACCTAAGACATCATCACCAATAACATCATTATATTCTCTATTAGGCATTGATATCACTACCGACCAACCATGATGCATCGGGTCGTCAACAAAAAATACTTGTTTGACTTGAGAAGCCAAAACAAATTGGTCATTCCTATGTCCAATTTTACTCAAATCTACAAGGGTAAATCGAAGTTCGTTGATTACAAGGCCAGAAGTACTATCTATCCAATCACACCTAAAGATTGGGATTGTAAACTTTTGGTAGTCAAGGTCCCAAATTTCTTGAATGACACCATAAAAACCCACATTTGAGAGAATTGGGTTTTTATCCTTGGCACTGGAAACTTGCATGGTATGTGCAAGTAAATAAACTCCACTATTTTGAAATGTCCGCACATCATCTTGTACCTTGATGTTAAATTTAACACCTTTAATAAGATAGCTCCTATATGATGGCATTGCCATGTTTGGACCAACTACTAGCCACCTTAAATTTTCTGATACGCCATGATTGTCTTCCTCATTAAGTTCACTTTGAACCTGCAAATTAATCATATCTTAATTCAGTCTAACATAGAAAGAAGAAAATTAAAAGTCCCATATGTTATTCAATAACATATACCTTGAAGCGTAGCCATTGAATGAAAGTGCTATTTTGCTTATCTTGCAGCCACTTTGTTCTCTTTTTAAATTTTGGATAAGCGGTCTTGATGTGGATCATATGTTCCCTACATGACATGAAAAATTCAAGCATTACGGTCCCAAACATATAAGATAAACATAAGGAATAATTTAAAATGGAAACTTAAAGAATAAAACTCATACTCGATATAAGGTAGGACTTCCTCCGTATTCTCCAAGACATATAGATGTGCTTGGTTTAACGGGTCCCGATCAACTAAGCTCACTGTGCAGCCTGATAATGGCTTTGAAACTCCTATCTTCTGACTTGATGGCACTCCAATTGTACTAATATCAGATAAATTTTCGGTGCAAAATTCTACAGCTTCTTCAGCTATATAATGCTCAGCAATGCAATGCAACCTTCGGGATGAGTACGGTTCTGAATATACCCCTTTAGAACTTTCATATATCTTTCGAACTGATACATCCATCTAAAATAAACTAACCCACATAGACGAACTTCTCTGACAAGATATACTACTAGATGAACCATGATATCGAAGAATGAAGGTGAAAAGTATTTTTCAAGCAAACACAAAGTAACTACTACAGCTTCTTCCAACTTATCTAGCTTGGAAACATAAACCGTCTTTGCACATATTGCATTGAAGAAGAAGCACAAACGAGTTATTGCATACCTTGCAGGCTTCTCCAAAACAGAACGAATTGCCACAGGGAGCAATTGTTGCATTAAGGTATGACAATCATGTGATTTAAGGCCAAGAAGTCTTGAATCTTGTAAAGATACAAGATTTTTTATATTTGAAGAATAACCTTCAGGGACCTTCATACCATAGAAAGAATTGCAAACCGCTCTCTTCTCTGCTCTTGACAAATTCAAAGGCCCTGGAGGCAAACGAGTACGTCTTTCTCCATACTCGGGTTGCAAATCAATTTTGACCCCCATGTTCAATAAATCTACCCGAGCAGCAATCTCATCTTTATTTTTTCCAGGAATCTCTAGCAATGTACCAATGATACTATCACAAACATTATTCTCAATGTGCATAACATCTAGGACATGCCTCACTGGAAGGTATTTTCAATACTCAAGATCAAAGAATTTTGACTTCTTCTTCCAACAAACTCTGTCACCATCATTTTCACCTCCACCTCCCCCTTTTTTCGAGCCCCATATGTAATTAGTATCTTCAACCATATGCATCACTTCTTCTCCAGTTAATGGCTCAAGAGGCGTGCCATATTCAAGTTTCCCATTAAAAGTTGCACGTTGCCTCCTATATGGATGTTTGATTGGTAACCATTTTCTATGCGCAATATAACATATTTTGTGGCCATTTTTCAACTTGTGACTAGGTGTATCATCGCCGCATAGTTCAACGATGTCCACAGAAATTATTATCTCTCCCTCTCTTCCCCCACCACCCAACTCTATCCTCAAGGGTTTATAAATTAGGGCTGCACACAAGTCAGGTTGGGTTGGTTATGGGCTCAAACCATTTGCAGAACCGGGTCATGTCGGCACGCCCAAATCTTAAACCGCACTCCTGTTTATTAGGCCCATTTTCGACTTAAGTCGATACCCGAATTAAGCTAGTCGGGTTGGTTCGGTTTGGATGTATGCCGAGGCCCAACAAAAGCAACAATTGAAGGAATTACTGTTATTATGCCATTAAAGTATATCAAAAGGAAATTGTAATTATTTAAAACATATATAATTCAGAAAATTATTAAACTAGTTAAAGATGAAAATAATAATAAAATATAAGTGTAAAGGTATCTGAAAAGTCAACATATTGTTTATCACTTTCTTTATTATTGGTGACAAAGACCAATAGTAACGGCCACAAATCTCACACTCTCGAAATTTGTAACTGCATGGTGACTAAAGCTTTTAGTCACCAATAAAGGTGACTAATGCTTTCAAAAGTCACCCAAAAAAGGGTGACTATTGCTTTTTTTTTTTGGTAGTGAACATACCTCTGCATGTGTAGCATGACTGAAGCCTAACACGTAATTAACATGTATATTGGGTGATGTAAGAGCACATTTCTTTTTTATCAATAAAAAAACCTTCCCAAACTATACAAGCTTCTTCCATTCTATGGTTTGACAGAGAGAAATGTGGGAGAGAAAGAGGCTGTGAACAATGAAGAAAAAGGGAATTATATATAGTAAGCTATTTATACGCACTACTTTGGCAAGGATTTCAAGAAAGTGCTCCAGTGTTGCATAAAGTATTGGGCCGTGAGCTTCTGTGAAGTCTGATTGATGAGAGGCTTTCCAATTTGAAATCCAGTAGAAGGTTGCAATTTTGTTTCTATGATAGGACCCAGTTTATCCTCAACCTTGACTCGAAGCAATGGTGTGGATTTAACCCTCATCTCCACTTACTCATCCAATGGCTGATATTTTGGGCGCATGGATACACCACGCCCATTGTAGAATTTTCCCCAAAACTAACCTCCAAACTAACTATTAAGCAATCCCTAATCATATCAAACAGGCTAACAGCCATATCATCACATGACACGTGGCCCGAGTACAATCGAACACTTGTACAAATTTCTATCACTCTATCTATAAACCAACCACGCATAGAGAGTTTTTGTTATATACTTTTATTGAAAGCACTTCAATTCACTGGAACACAGTAATTAAAAAAGAAACTTTAAATTTATTTATTTACAAGGATAGATTCCAAAGTTCAACAGTACACTTTCGACACAACATCAACTTAGCAAATCGAAGCGCATTGTAGCAAATCTAAGGCGTACATATTACTGAGAATATATAAGAGGATCAATAAACCCTAAAAACCAGCTGTGATTGGGAGTTATGGATCCACTCAACCAATTAATGCTGCTTTATTGACAAACAAAGATTTATTTATGAACCTTATAACATGCCTGCAACATATATCACCACAGGCAAATTATAGGGTTATATCTAATTCTCTATTTCACTCTCTGCAGCACCATGTCCCCATTTTCCGTGGCAGCCATGGCCACAATGCTCCCAGTGTCCGTGGCAATGGCCGTGCTCCCAACGTCCGTGGCCATGCCCGTGCTCCCAAAGTCCATTCTCGTGGCCGTGAAAATGGTCACCATAGTTATCCATCTCTACATTCTCCTCTGAAAGAAAAAAAGAAAAAGAAAAAGAACATAAAAAGAAAAACGTTATAGATGTCGAAAAGTTGCAAATTAAGCCATGCAGGTACATCATTTAGCTAAAGGAATCTTAACCATTCATTTCTTTACAAGTCTCATATAAATACAAATTAATTCGTAGCATTAAAAATTGTCATGATCTATCCTGCACCACATATAGAATGTGCCTCGAAAAGTTTACGAATCCGTACTAGAATAAAAGAAACAAAAGATTTATTTGAGAAAGAAAGAAACTGACGGGTTTGAGCAGTAGTCGGAACCAGCTCGCGGGCTGAGACGACCTCAGAGGAGACGAGGACAACAGCAAAGACAAGACCAAGAAGAAGAAAAGTTTTCGAAGATGCCATGCTCTGGTAATCAACAAAAGGTGAACACAAATAATATATGAAGGGTAGATGATTTCTGCTGAGTGAACATAATGTGGCACTTGGCTCTCTATTTATAGACCTTTAGGTTTTTTTTCTCAACAAAAAACTTAGTTTAAATTGCATGGAGCGGTAACGAGTGAAGAGGAGAGCTTAAACTTTTGGACTCTGTCAAGAATGCTTTGTTTGATTTTGATAGGTTGATAAGACTACGTATTAAGGAATGCGGTCAGATTGGTGTAGATGGCTCTTTCCTTATGCGCAAAATGTAAGGAGCAATAACTAAAGTCAATCGAGTTCGGTTTGAGTGTGGTTGTTTATACGATTGATTATGAAAATGACGAATAGCTAAGTCAAAAGTTGGTTAGATAGCGTGCTTAATAGCTAGCATATTAAGATGGAATTTCAAAGGAAAGTGGAAAATGGGCTGAAAATGGTTAGCCCAAAATTTGGGATTTAAGGCCAAAAATACCTCCCAACGGGTGTAGACGGACGCGGGTTGTAAGTTTTTATTTTAAGTGAAAATCTCAAAAAATTTATATTAAAATGTTTGAAAATATAAATCGTGAAGGTATGAACAATAATAAACTCAAGAAAAATTAACCACAATAAAAAATTAGAGGTAACATACTTTTAAAGAATTTAATAAAGTTTGAGACTCAAATTTTAAGTCTAAGGGTGGGGGGGAAAACTGATTGAGTCCGGGCAATACATGAATAGTTGTATTTTGGAGGATAAAATTTTGCGTCTGAGTCCTCTAGGGTTGGAGATGGCCTTATCAATCAATATTCAAATCCCTGCAAACCTAAAAGATGCCTAAGTGACAACCTAGGCACTCAAAAGGACCCTTCAATCTAGGCATCCCCTGTACGAGCAACAACTAGAGTGAGAGGTGTGTGAAGATTCATCAACATTACATAGATAACATATATAGTATGACTAGTCATATCAATCATATCAACATACAATAAATGTTCACCCAGAAACCCCTATGGGTCATCACTCTGACCAGGCAATCCACTAAGTCAAGAAGAATCTTACAAGTAAAAGTAATCACCAGCTCATATAATCTTAAATCTATAAAGAAAATGAGCACTACCTCCATGTGCAAGCTTCTTCTCCAAATTTAGTTGAGCTAGTAGTTTGTCATTCATGGAAATGACAGCTAATCCATCAGCTTCTTCACCCCATGGTACCGCAACTCAACTCCGGACTGTAACATATCAGTGGACTATAGATTCAACAACCAAGAGATCGATTTCTTCAAGAAATCATTCTTGAAGTAATTAATCCTAAAATTTGTTCTATAAATAAATGATGAATGAAAGTATATTCTAGATGCAGATTTTAAAGAACCAAAGCAGATTGCAAAAGCATGTTGAAAATCTCATTTTGGAAAAATATGTAGACCTCACACAGTGAAGGAAAAACACAGAGAAGAAGATGAAGAAGCTCTCAATATTCCTCATTGTGCAAGTGACAACTACTAGAGCCAAGACTCCCTTTTTTTACCCCCCCAAAAAGCTAGGTCATAATTAATGAGTTGTTGGCTAATGATTGGGGCAGTAATAAGACAAAATTCGTTAGGACAGAAAACCTACAGTTGGGCAAGTGTGAGACTCACATGAGAATTTTAAATGGCATGGAAGTACACGTATACCTCAATAGATGACTAGTCATCCTAATGTATGAAATGCATAATTTACCTTTGAGCCAATTTGCCATGAGCTGCAATTTGTCTCAGTCATTGAAGTCTTCTTCAACCAAAACTAACCTAGACTAATTAAGTTTGAGCTTGATGATTTACAGTAACAAAATATAATCTTGTCCAAGCACTAGTAAAAAAAACCCTTTGCGCGACTAAACACAATTCGTCGCTCAAAGTGACTTTGCGCGACGAAAATGAAACTTCGTCGCTCAAAGCCTTACGCGACTAAATTTTGCGCAACGAAACACAAATCGTTGCACAAAGTCACTTTGCACGACAAACCTTTGTGCGACGAAGTGTGGTTCGTCTCGTAAAGTCTTTACAAAAATAAAGAAAATAAAAAAATTATTTGTAAAAATCTTTGCATGACTTTGCGCGACGAAACAATAAAATTCGGTGCACAAAGTCTTGCGCGACGAAGAGTATTTCGTCGCGCAAAGTCTTTACAAAAATAAATAAAATAATTTTTTCTTATAAAAATCTTTGCATGACTTTGCGCGACGAAACAATAAAATTCGGTGCACAAAGTCTTGCGCGACGAAGAGTATTTCGTCGCGCAAAGTCTTTACAAAAATAAATAAAATAATTTTTTCTTATAAAAATCTTTGCATGACTTTGCGCGACGAAACAATAAAATTCGGTGCACAAAGTCTTGCGCGACGAAGAGTATTTCGTCGCGCAAAGTCTTTACAAAAATAAATAAAATAATTTTTTCTTATAAAAATCTTTGCATGACTTTGCGCGACGAAACAATAAAATTCGGTGCACAAAGTCTTGCGCGACGAAGAGTATTTCGTCGCGCAAAGTCTTTACAAAAATAAATAAAATAATTTTTTCTTATAAAAATCTTTGCATGACTTTGCGCGACGAAACAATAAAATTCGGTGCACAAAGTCTTGCGCGACGAAGAGTATTTCGTCGCGCAAAGTCTTTACAAAAATAAATAAAATAATTTTTTCTTATAAAAATCTTTGCATGACTTTGCGCGACGAAACAATAAAATTCGGTGCACAAAGTCTTGCGCGACGAAGAGTATTTCGTCGCGCAAAGTCTTTACAAAAATAAATAAAATAATTTTTTCTTATAAAAATCTTTGCATGACTTTGCGCGACGAAACAATAAAATTCGGTGCACAAAGTCTTGCGCGACGAAGAGTATTTCGTCGCGCAAAGTCTTTACAAAAATAAATAAAATAATTTTTTCTTATAAAAATCTTTGCATGACTTTGCGCGACGAAACAATAAAATTCGGTGCACAAAGTCTTGCGCGACGAAGAGTATTTCGTCGCGCAAAGTCTTTACAAAAATAAATAAAATAATTTTTTCTTATAAAAATCTTTGCATGACTTTGCGCGACGAATCTATAAACTTCATCTCGCAAAGTCTTTACAAAAATAAAAATAAATAATAATAATAAATTATTTTGTTAGAAAAATATAATATTTTAAATGTATTATATTTTAAATTGACGATCAAATTGGTTCATTGTATACATATAGGGTCACGGAGTGTAGCTGTAAAAAATCATCAAAATCAGAGTTGAAATAACCGTTAAATCTTGATTGTTCTTTTATAACCGTCGAAATGTTTTGTCCCATTACTTGATCTCTTAATGTTTATTTTTTCCGAATTTTGGCGTACATGATCTCGAAGTATAAACAAATAAGTTTGACGGTTGGATCGTTGAGTAGCTTTAAATTTGTTTATTTTGTACGTATAACACTTAAGAAATTGAATAGTATATATATTTATTAGCAGGTTTAAATTTTTTTTTAAGACTTTGCGCGACCAATATAATAGTTCGTTGCGCAAAGTATACTCTAAAAATTTGGGCGGGTACCAAAAATGAGAATTTTTTTTACGACTTTGCGCGACTAATATATAGTAGTTCGTCGCGCAAAATATACTCTAAAAATTTGGGGAGTACCAAAAATGGGAATTTTAAAAAAAAAAAAATTACGACTTTGCGGAACGAATATATAATTCGTCATGCAAAGTTTTGCGGGATGAATATATAATTCGTCGCGCAAATTTTTGCGGGACCAATATATAGTCGTTCGTCTCGCAAAGTATACCCGAAAAATTTGGGCGGGTACCAAAAATGCGAAATTTTTTTAAATTTTTTTTCCAACCTTTGCGCGACCAATATATACTAGTTCGTCGCGCAAAGTATACTCTAAAAATTTGGGCGGGTACCAAAAATGCGATTTTAAATTAAAACAAAAATTACGACTTTGCGGGACGAATATATAGTTCGTCGCGCAAAGTTTTGAGGGACTAATATATAGTCGTTCGTCGCGCAAAGTATACCCGAAAAATTTGGGCGGGTACCAAAAATGCGAAATTTTTTTAAATTTTTT